AATTGGGAGTGTGAGTTCTGCAACTCTGTTCTTCTCTTTTAAGACTGTTTTTAATATTTAGGGCTCCTTGAAATTCCATATGAATTTCATAAGGACAAAAACCAGAATTTTGCAAAAGACAGAATTTTGTAGATCATATTGGGTAGTGTTGATATCTTATCAATATTAAGTCTTCTAATCCATAAACATAGGCTGTTTTTTCATAGCTTTCAGTGCAAGTCTTTCATCTTCTTGGTTAAATGTATTCCTAGGTACCACAATGAATTATCACCTCCAATTACTGGATGGCTATTACTAAAAAGCAAGATATAAAACCCCCAAAAACAGAAAATAACAAGAGTTAGTGAGGAAGTAAAGAAATTAGAACTCTTGTACACTGCTGGTGGGAATGTAAAATGGTGCAGCCATTGTGGAAAGCAGTTTAGTGGTTCCTCAAAAAGTTAAACAGAATTACCATATGATCCAGCAACTCCACTTCTAGTGATATACACCAAAGAATTGAAAACAGGATTCAAACAGATCCTTGTATGTTAATGATCACAGCAGCATTATTCATAATAGTCAAAAGGCAGAAAACCAAAATGACCATCAACTGATGAATGGATAAACAAAATGTATAAACACATGTATATGTATAAACATAAAGCTGAGTATTATGCAACTACCATAAAAACTAATTAAATTATTATACATGCTACAAAAGGGATGACCCTGAAGATATTATGCTAAGTGAAATAAGCTAGACACAAAAGGACAAATACTATATGATTCTACTTGTATCAGTTACCTAGAAGAGGCAAATTCATACGAGTAACAGAAAGTAGAATAGAGATTATCAGGGGAAGGAGAAAGGGAAACTATTTTTTAATAGGTACAAACCTTCTGTTTGGGGTGATGAAAAAGTTCAAGAAATAAATGGTGGTTATTGTTCAGAGTACTTAGTACTTCAGATGTACTTAGTGCCACTGAACTGTGCACTTCAATGGTAAATTTATGTTTTATCTGTTTTACCACAATAAAGAATAAAATTGCCAAAAAGAGTGAATATGCTAACTGAAAGAAGCCTGACACAAAAGCCTCATACCTTAATGATTCCATTTATATGAAATTCTTAAAAAGGCAAAACTACAGTGACAGCAGAATGGTTGCTGGAAGTGGAGAGATGAACTGCAAAGAGAATGATGAAAATTTGGGGGATGATAGAAATAATCTGTATTTTGATTGTGGTGATGGTTATACAACTAGATACAGTTGTTAAAATACATCAAACTATACACTTAAATCTGATGAATTTTATTGCATGTAAATTATACTTCAATAAAGTTCATTTAAATAGTCAGAGACCTGAGGTAGTCTAGCCCTATGTAATCATTTCAGAGAAAAAAAAAAAAACTGAGTCCTTGAATATCAAAAGTCACACAATTAGCGAAACAGTCTGACTAGAATTCAGTCCCATAAATTAAATCCAAAGCTCTTTAGATCATATAAAATGACACTACTGTAATAGAGGGTGATGGTGGTAGATGACTATATTGGTAATTCAATACCTCCTCCTGGAATAAAGGTTTGAAACCTTTATTCTGAGATCTGAAGAATTCATGAGGTTATATTGGAAGGTTGAAATCAAAACATATAGCAACATATGTTCACTTCCTACCACTCGTATGCTCACCACTTTGCAAAGCAACTACTCCTTTTGTCAAAATTCCAATGAGTAAGATTTTGTATCCATGGACCTTAAACACATTCTGCCCTCTGAAGCAATATCAAAAAAGGCTAATCACATTTCCATAAGATCACTCCTCAAATACTTGTAAATGACTCTATTTATGATGTTCTCATAAAGTCTTCTTTAGTACAGTCTAAAAATATCCAGAGCTGCCACAGTCTTTCCTATACTGGCCACAATGCAGTGTGTAGACAATGCACAGGAGTTTTGGTTTTCTTTTACTTTTTTTTTTTAAGATTTTATTTATTTATCTGACAGAGATCACTAGTAGGCAGAGAGGCAGGCAGAGAGAGAGAGAAAGGGGGAAGTCCCCGCAGAGCAGAGAGCTCAATCCCAGGACCCTGGGATCATGACTGAGCTGAAGGCAGAGGCTTTAACCCACTGAGCCACCCAGGCACCCCGAGTTTTGGTTTTCAAACGAAAAACAACACTAAAAAATTTTTTTCTGCAAGTTACTTAGAATTAAATTGGATCTTCCAGGAAGACTACTTGGGATGGGGATGGGAAGGGTAAACTGTATTGCATTACTGGCCAATTCCTGATTTCCTATCACTTAAAATTCCTAGGTCTTTGTTTTATAAAGCATCACTAAGACATCTCTCTGAATTTGAAAATTAAGGGCAAGGTTATGGATTTATTTCTGTAAAATAACCTTTTATTTTTGTTTCTTATTCTGAATATACTTTTTTTTTTTTTAAAGATTTCATTTATTTATTCATGAGAGACAGAGAGAAAGAGAGGCCTCTAGAGGCAGAGGCAGTGGGAGAAGCAGGCTCCCTACACCAGGACTTGATCCCATGGGATCATGACCTGAGCTAAAGGCAGATGCTTAACCACTCAGGTGCCCCTGAATATACTTTAAACATATTTTGGAATCTTTATTCACTGTGTAACATATTAGCTACATTTCTAAAATATTTCATGTATAAAATTATTAAACATACCTTGAATATAAGGGTTTAATAACATTAAAATACTTGGAAGCACAGGTTTAGGAGACAAAGACATCTCTGATATATTTTTGCTTCATCATGGATAACCTCTTGACATAGTTAATCATATATAAAACCAATTAAGTTTACTATTTTCATCTATATTTCTCTACCTTAACCAGAAAGATACCATGAGAGTACCTAACAAATTACTTTTAAAATTACACTTACGGCGTTTTAAAGTTTTTCTTTACTGCAGAAACAAAGTCAGTTTTGACTTATACATAGTAAATTCCCTTTTAAAGAGTAAAAGTCACTTTTCTAATTGTTTATAAACCAGATGTTCTAGGAATTTTTAATGACGCATCATCAAAGTCACTGGTTCTTTTTTCAGATATCTAAACATTATTACTTAAAGAGCTATGTTTTGCCCACCTCAAAGTCTTCAGTATCTCTTATTTTCTAAAATCCTTTAAAGACAATAATATTCTTGTATTCCTGTATTTTGCAAACTATTTTATTATCTAGAAATATGCATTTGCTTTGAAGTTAGAAATTTAACCAAGAGGCTCTGTTATTTTTGCCTGTTTTGTATATCACTGCTTTATATGTTTGTTTTACATTTTATTCCAGTCTAGAAGAATGTCTGCCAAGTAAGGAAACAAAAATGTAAACAAAATCAAAGTAGAGATCTGCATCCTACTTGTTGTATTTTAGCTCCACAATGTGAGTCTATCTTGTCTCTGAAACAGCACAGAGATTCTTTTGTTATATTTTATTTTCTAAAGCTTCAGTTCATTCTGGCCATTTTTGCTTGCCCGTTTTACTTTTTTCACCATAAACAAGCTTTCTTATTTTTATGTCCTATAAGCCTCAATATTTGAAAAAGCATGCAAAAAAAGCTAGTAATTCATGATTCTAATGGATTATGACTGTAGCTTCTGCTAAATGAAAACATAACACTTACTATCTTTCCTTATAACAAAAGCACATTACATTGATAACTCAGTTTAACCTAAACCCAAACAGAAACTCCCAATTCTGTTTCTTCTATTTTTTATGCTTTGATATTGACACTTCATACAAAGGCAGGACAAAACATTTGCATTCCCAACTTTTTTTTTTTAAGATTTTATTTATTTATTTGACAGATAAAGGTCACAAGTAGACAGAGAGGCAGACAGAGAGAGAGGAGGAAGCAGGCTCCCTGCTGAGCAGAGAGCCCGATGCGGGGCTGGATCCCAGGACCCTGGGATCATTACCTGAGCTGAAGGCAGAGGCTTTAACCCACTCAGCCACCCAGGCGCCTGCATTCCCAACTTTTTAATATTCTTTCACCACCTTTCTATTCATTTTTCTTAACGATCTTCATTAACATTATAGAAAAAAAATTTTTTTTCAATTGTTAATTTCTTCTTGCTTTCAGTTTTCTGATATCCATAGCCAGATTATGATGGTGTTTCTTAATTTTACTGAATAAAAGTAATGTCCAACTTTGAAGTAATTCTATTTGCCTTCCTGACCCACGTAGAGTTCTAGATTTAACATAACCTTTTCTGCCTACTCCTGTTACAGTCTAACTCCTGAGAACAGAAAACTGAAACAAGAAACAGTATCTTTTTAAAAATAAACAGCTGGCTTTTCTTTTTAGCCCTCATATCCTTGATTAAGATTACACTAGTCTGAATTTGCCAATGGAAAATGCTGTCTAAGCTGCAAAATACCTGAGAATAGCTGTTTAGTAACCTAAATTAGTTAACATAACTTTTTAAAAGTTCCTTTTTTCATTTTGAAATTTCTCTCCTCTTGAAAAAATGTAAACATATATCTTAAACCACAATTTGAGGTCTTGATGTAGGAAGTTAAGGCTATAGTTTTTCATAAGACATAAATCCCCACATTATCAAACTTTAGTGAGATAATTACATATATTCTTCATGTTGGATAATATTTCATCTGCACAATTAACAAGAACTAGCTGGAGTTAAGAATCAAAAATAACCCATGGTAAAATACCAATATGAAACAGATTTCTAAAACCTAAGAAGCAGGTCTGATCAACATCACTTATTTTCTGTTACTTAAAATATAATGTAAGAAAATATTACCTATTTCTAACAAAACTGTGTGGACAGAGAAAGAATGTTAGAATGAAGAGTCATTAGACAACAATAAGACCCCTAAGTATTAGAGAATACAAAACTGATTAAGAATTCAATTAAAGTAGAAAACAAAATTACTTAAAAACAAGAGCACAGAAGTTGTGCTTAAAAAAAAAAAAAAGGCTTAAAGGGAAGGGGGATGAGATAGGTGAGAAAAAGCACTACCGGACTCCTTACCCATTGTTGTTGGTGCTGGAGCTTCCTGATGGTATTTTCAGCTTGCTCCAGTTTAGCACTGGCCTCATCACTCTGCTGTTTGATGGTGGCCAACTCCCGTTTTATGAGGTAGTTTTCCTCAGCCTCCTGGGCTCTTGTCACTTGTCCCTTAGGACATAATTTGTGTGTGTGTAAAGCAATTTAGGATAGATTCAAGAAAGACTGCCTTTGTGAGGTTTAGTTATTTACTGTGATATGTTAAAAAAAAAAAAAAACCCTCAGAGAACAGAACAACCTAAGTAATTATTAACCAGCTCATTATTACTCCAGCAAATTTTGGGAAGCTAAATTTAAAAAATTATCTGATAATCTTAAGAACAATTCTTCGTTCAGTCAATAAAAATTCAATTCATGCAATATTACTGAGTTGTACATGCAGGACTAAAATTTTCAATGTAGTTAATTTCGTAGAATCCACTGATTGACATTTTGGAATAAATACTTTAAGGTTAGCTTTAAAACGTGCAAAAGGTGTTTAATAAACCAAGATAACACACTGTTATCAAAAATTAAGTTTACACACATATATACCAGCCCAAAAGATTATTTCTAGGAAAATGCATGTAAAATTCATGCATTAAAATGTGAATTTCTAGGTTTAGGACTTTCCTTAGAAGTAAAGTTAGAGAAAATGCTAAAAAAAAAAAACAAAAACAAAAACAAAAACTATACCTGTATCAATCTATCTGCCAAGGAAGCACTTTCCTACAAAAGGAAAAATTCAGATAGAAATTTAAGAGAAAGAAATAAAATAAAGGTGCACAAAATTAGGAATAAGAAGAAAAAAGCATACCCAAATTCCATCTACTTTCATGTAATTAAGATAGATATTTAGATTTGATTTTAAGGCTACTTACTGTGTTTATTATTCTTAACCTTTAAGAAAAATATATCAAAATAAGGATAGACTACAGAAAATCATATGCTTCTAGAAGACCAAACACAAATTCCAAGATGTTTTTCATCATTTGAGACAAGCAAATAGCTTCTTTTTAAAGCATTCTTTTAAGTCTTCATGTTTGGAATCAGCCATATTGTCAAACAACTTATAGGAAAGGGAGAAGGAATTTGAGTAAGCAATTCCACTTATAAAGTGTGACAGCAATTTGTACAACAGCAACTTCCAAAGAAGCGAAGCAAGGAAAATATGACAAATGAAAATAATAAGCTCAACATAATAAACTATAGCAATAACTCAATAATTAAACATTTTGGTTACAGAATTTAACTAATACATAAGTATTTATAGAATTCGAAGCACTACAGGACAGACCTAGGCTATGTAAGCCTGTAGAAAGGTACTTAATTTTCTAGAAGTAAAATCCAAACTTAACACTTTCCTATAGCACCTTTATCTTTCTGACGGTTCAGTGAAATAAAAACATTTTCTCTGTGCAAATAGCTCATTCCAAAGATAAAAGACTACCTAAGAAGACAGATATTATAAACTGAATATTGAGTGGAAAAACAATATGCAATTAGAACAACTTAACTAAAATAAGCTCAACGTTTTTACAGAGTCACCAAAAGAGTAAAATTATTCTCAAAGCAACTCTAATAAGATGAAGGAAATACAGGAAAACTATTTTTGACTTAATATAATGTACCTGAAATTATTATACATTATTGTGAAATAAACATCCTATCCTTGTGTGTGGTGTGATGCTTTCAAACAAAAGACAAATAACCAAACTATCCATATCTTCATGTTTTCTCTCTTGAATATTGATCTGTAGATTTTCAAGGAAGATTTTAACCATATCATTTATTAACCTACTTACTCTCATCTTTTGTTTAAAAAAAAAAAAAAAAAAAAAAAGCCCTTCCAAATGCCAAAAGAGTTTGTGAATTCAGGTTTTTCTTTTAATAAACCAAAACTCTTAGACTATACTTTCTTCTTATAGCATCAGAACAAGACTATAATAGACATTACATCAAAAGCACAATATTAAAAATAATGCAAAACTTTCCACATTTGCCCAGTTATTTTATATGAAACAGAAAGGAAGAAAGAGGTAATAAGTAGTATCAAAATAAGTCTGAGAACCAAATGTTTAATTTAATTTTAATTGAAAATCAACACCATGGTGAATTTATATATGAGAAATCAGTCAGTTATTCTGACTAAACTAAAAGGAATCCTAGGCCTTAAAGGAATCACTGACACATTTAATACGTGGCTAGAAAGTCAAGGTAACATTTGAAAGTCATTTTTAAAATACTATATAGAATGAATTCTCAATTAGGTTACCTCTAAAGAATGTACTTTTTAGAGATTATATGTAAAGAAAACAAATCAATATGTTACTCTAACAATAACCTTAATTAAAACTTTAACCTTAAAGCTCAAGGACTCATAGTGATCAATTTTTATTAATGACAAGTTATTTAGTTAAGTAGTAAGCTAGGCAAGCTAAGCAGTTAATATCACAACTTTGGAGACGTGATAGATTTCTTGTAACTTTATTCAAATAAATAGAAAATAGTACTGTGCATTCAACAGAAACTTGCATAAGTAGTTATTTACTTACTTTTTCTAATGTTTCAATGCGCTGTTTTAAAAGTCTATTTTCTGTGCGTAACCTCTGCAAAAAAAAAAAAAAAAAAAAAAGAAACAACAAAAAAAGAGGTTTGTTTGCAAGCATTCCTGAGGAAAAGATACTTAAATCGTAATCCTTAAAATATACCACCTTTTATAAATAGGAAAGCTAAGGAATGGTTGGTTACATTATTGTCTGTCAAACTCCTATAGGCTCAGAGTAGGAAATACATAGTAAAGGAAATGAAATTTATCACTCCAGGTGTGAATGAATTTTAGATATATGCTACAGTACATGTAGAAATAACCTCTTTCTTTAAAGTACCTACCATGACTCATAATCAACATTTTCTTATCTGTCTTAACATCTCCATTAGATAGAAAAGACTCTAACTCATTTACCTCCTACAGACACTATCTACACAAACAGTACTCAAATGTTTAACAAATAAACAAATAAGAAATCTGAAAAATGCAGCTCATAGGATATTCAGAACTAGACCAGCCTTCATCTATGCCTTATATATGCAAAGCTACAAAATTCCTTACATTCTGAAAATAAGATTGAGTTGTTTTCATTGAATTAATTATTTATAAGTTGTTGTGACCTTAAAAAAAAAAATGGAGGCACCTTGCTGACTCAGTTGGTAGAGTATGGGACTTAATCTCAAGGTCATGAGATCAAAGCTCCATGTTGGACATGGAGCCTACTCAAAAAAAGTAAAAATTTTTAAAAAAAATACCAAACTTAAAAAAATGAACAGTTCTGATTACTAGTATTTTCTTATAGTTCAAAAAGCAAAACCAGATTTGGGGTATCTGGGTAGCGCAGTTGGTTAAGAGACTGACTCTTGGTTTCAGCTCAGGGCCTGATCTCAGGGTCCTGAGATCAAGCACCGTGTTAGGCTCTGCACTCAGCACAGAGTCTGCTTAAGACTCTGTTCTTCCTCTCCCCTTTGCCCCCTTCCCACACACTCTCTCTCTCAAATACAATAAATCTTTAAATGACAAAAAGAAAGTAAAACCAGATTTTTAAAAAAAAATCTTCACCTAACCATTCAATATCTGACTCCCCAAACCCTATCAAATTACTATTAAGTATTAAAACTAAAACACTCTACATAAAAAGTCATCTTCTTGCATATTCCATTAACATTTTCATATAAATCCTGATATGTTATAACTTCATTTTAGAATCCTTGGAGTTACTTCTCCATTTTGCCATCATTGAAACTTCAAATTTCCCTTACCTTTTGTACAAATTTACCCCGGAACTTAATCCAGCCTTCTTCCAACCCTACCATCCTCTAAATTCCTGCTTTTAAAAATGTTTTCCTCGAGGACCCCTGGGTGGCTCAGTTGGTTAAGTGACTGCCTTCGACTCAGGTCATGATCCTAGACCCAGATGGAGTCCCTCGTCGGGCTCCCTGCTCAGCAGGGAGTTTGCTTCTCCCTCTTACCCTCCCCCCTCTCCTACTCTCTCATGCTCTCTCTCAAAGAAATAAAATCTTAAAAATCATAACTTTATTTAACACAGAGTTCTTTTTGTCTCTCCCCTTCATTCATCCTTTTTAAATGCCTTTATGCCAAGTTTTTCAGTGATAATTTATTAGGTTCTATCCTATTTCCCAGATGTTTTTATTCCTATTTTAAGTGGAATTTCTTTTTCTAAGATATATTTTTAAGTTAAATTTTTTTTATTTTTTTAAGATTTTATTTATTTATTACAGTGAGAGAGAGCACAAGCTGGGGAGCGGCAGGCAGAGGAAAAGGGAGAGGGAGAAGCAGGCTTCCTGCAGAGCAGAGGGAACCTGATGTGGGGTTCAGTCCCAGGACTCTGGGTCATCCCAGGACCCTGAGATCATGACCTGAGCTGAAGACAGTCGCCTAACCAACTGACCCACTCAGGCACCCTTTTTCTAAGATATTTTGATACATAGGAAAATTGATGACTAAAATCTATCATTTGATTGAATTCTCATTAATTTTTGACTACCTATCTTTTTAATTACATTTGCCAGAGTAACTGAAGAGTATTTTCTAAACTTTAAAGTGAAAACCATAAAGAGGAAGACAGATACATACTTAAAAAAAAAAAGAGGGAGAGACTTTTGACCTATCTAATTAGAAAAGAGAAAAAAAATTAGAAAAGAGAAAATGAAGAGTGAGAGCAAAAATGAAATACCTAATATAAGCAAGGTGTTAGTGGAATGGAAACTCACTGCCAAAAAGAACATACCCTGGAAATACTCTTTAGGAAATTTACTGAAAAATACTAATATCCTATAATTCAATAATTCTACTCTTTACAACTGGCTAAGAAAACATAAGGTGCCGAAAACTTTATATACAAACATGCTAACTATACTTGCTATTTTTAATGGCGAAAAATGGTTAAAAAAAAAAAAAAAAAAAAAGAATATCCCCAAATGGGGAAATTTCAGTTTCTAACAACTCACTTTATTCTTGCTGTTTTATTCTTATTCATTTTATGAAATAACCCAAACTCAATAATATTCCTCACTGAGACAATCCATTGATCCTACCAACTCTCCATTGTCCCTCACTCTGATGTGCTCTCTTCCCTCTTTATAAAATTTAATTTCCTATCATTACAGATGTTCCATTCCTTTTATCCTCCCCTCTGCCCTCTCTTCCTTAGGAGATAGCATAGTTGCCTGATAAAACCACCACTCTGGGTTAACATACTGACAACTCTGTGTCTGCGCCTATGTTGGTAAATATAATTGAAGGAAAATAAAACAATGAAGTTTGTTTAAATTAATTCAGTTTAATTAAATTCAGTTGGACTACTAATGTGCCCTAGCAGCAATAATGTGTTTTCTTAGACCATGCCTTCTCTCACCCTCTCACACCCCTAATTCATACTTGTTCCTCTTTCTTCAAATCAGGATCCCTTCACCCCACTGTCACTCTCAAATGACAATCTTATTCCCAATTTCACTGAAAGAACTGAAGCAGTAAGAACAAAACTTTGCAAGCTCCCACAACTACATCCTACCTCTTACCTACATTCTTCCCATTTATTTTAGGTTCTCTCTTGTTCTTATGGATTAACTATCCACACTAGGAGACCTCATCTCCTACTATGGGGTAAATCAAAACCGTGCTGACCCTAGCAATTACCCTCTGCCATTCACACATCACCAGTTTTTCCTACGTGGTTATCACCATGAAAACGTAGCTATTTTTCCCATCTTAATGAAAAGTAAAGAAAATCAAAATCCCCTTAACATCATGACCCTAAGCTACTGTCCCATTTCTCTCTTCTTTATAGCAAATTCCCTGAAAGATATCTATACTCCCTATCTCCATTTTTTTCTAGTTTCAATCAAGTTTTAGTTCCCACTATTTCTCTGCTCTTTTCCAGCTTACCTCCACGCTGACAAATTCAATGATTATTTCTCCATCCTCAACTCACAAGAATACTCTTTAGCACTGACAGAAAAACCCTTCTCTTTCTAAAATTCTCTTTTCTCGTGCCTTTAGGACACTTAGACTTCGTGTTCTCCTGCTTTGCTCTCATCTTTCTAACTTAAATGTTGGCTTATGATCAGGCTCAATTCTTGAACTCTCTTCTCTCATCTACACTCATTCCCCAAGTAATGTCATCCACTCTAAAGGCTTTTACTATCATCATTCTGCCAATAACTTCCAAATTTATATTTTGAGCCTGCCCTATCTTAAATTCCACTCGGAATATTCAAGAAGCTACTCTGAATATCTCCTTGGCATCTGATTCTTAAATTATCTCAAACTAGGCTCTTGATACTCCTTCCCAAAGCAGAACCTCCTGCAGACTCCCCCATCTCAGGTACTGCGAACTCCGACTGTCTCCCTACTAAAGCCAAAATGCTTAATTCCTATTTCTCTCATACCTCCACAATCAACTTGTCAGCTTTATCTTTAAAGTCTATTCAGAATCCAATCACTTCTAACCACCTCAGTCCAAGCCACCATCATCTGTTGCCTGTAGTACTTCATCAGCCTTCCTGTCCCCTGCAATCTACTCTCAACATACCTTCTCCTCCATTGAAAACCCAAATGGCTTTCTAGGTTCAAAGTCAAAATCTTCACATGTTCAACAACAGCCAACTCCTGTTACTTTCCTGATCATGTATACTGTCCCATCCACAATGGTTTCCTTACTATTTCTCCCTGGGCACATTCCTGACTGTCCATCAGGCACATTCCTACTCTCCGTCCAGATATCTATTTATCTAGCTCGCTCACTTCCTTCAGCTATTTATTCAAAAGTAATCCAGTCAACTTCTCTAAATTTTCAATCCAAACACCATCATTTTACTCTCCCTTCCCAGATGTATTCTTTTCTCTGTTTAACACTTAACTTCATCAAAATATTATATATTTTACTTTTCTGTTTATTGTCTGACTCCCATACTAGAATGTAAGCTCCATGAGGGCAGAAAATTGGTCTATTTCAGCAAAACGTTTCAAGTGCCTAGAATAGTGTTTGGACATGTAGTAGGCTCTACAAACACCTAAAATGGATGACTTGAATAAATTACGTTACTCTATCACCCCCACTGGATATTATTATACAGCCATTCTTTTTTTATTGAAAGCTTATGATGCCACAGAAAAATGGGCATCTGAATCTTTCTTACATCACAATATATTAAGTCTTTTTTGGAAAGCAGCACAGTGTATATATACATTGAAGAGTATGTATGGGTCTTAGAAAAACATAAATCAGATTTCAAATCCTTGACTTTCACCATTTTCTAGCAATGTGACCACTAGCATATTTTTTGAGCTTTTTGAAGCTCAAAAAGACAAGGATAAGAACCTTCTCATAAGGTTATTAAAGGCATAAAAGTAGATGATACATGTAAATGACCCCTTACATATTAAGTGTTAAATAAATGTGTCAATACTAACACTTCATACTGATTGTTAAATGTAATGCCTGGATGACTCATATAACATTTCTCATGTTTTCCTTTTTTACACCAGGCAGTGAATACACAAATGTTTTTATATTATTCTTTTTCAGCATATCTGGAACACTTCATAATTTTTAAATTAAAAAAAAAAAAAATTGAACTTCTGACTAAAAACCAGTCAGAATCTCTAACTGTTCCCATTTGCAGGGCTTAAATCTCTACATCCCAAAGCACAAAATTTAAATATGAATGTTAGATTATCAGCTCAACTGTCAGTCTTAAATAGAATGGGGGAATAAAGGTTTTCTTTAAAGATTTGTGAGGTACCCTAATATAAACTAGAATTTTAATTTTTCTTACCTCCTCCCCCTCACCTGAAAGAGCAATAGATTGGAAAAGGATACTGAGAAAGCTGTTTCTATTAATAAAAAATTTCACACAACAAAATGTAAGATTCTCCATATAAAACAATTACTATCAAAATCTTTCTGTAACACTTTTAGAAAAGGGTTGGAAAATACTTAAAAGTTACACCTTCATCACAGAGCCTCCAGATATAATTCTTAGACAAAAAGGTCCACAACCCAAAGGTCTTAGAATTTTAAGTAAAAAAAAAAAAAGGAAACTTTATCAATGGCAGATTTTTTACTTCCACACCAAAACATCAAATAATTTGTTAATCATACCATTTGCCTGTATAAAAAACAGTTTAAGATTATCTCTCTGAAGGCTCTGAGAAGGACTAAGGCAAGAAAGCATTAGTTTAAGAGAGCTCATTCCCTTGTTTTTATAAGGGACCCTAGAAAGAAGGGAAGAGAGTGTGACTAAGGAAGTGGCATTTCCCATTTTAGAGAAAGCCTCCAATAATACATGGCTAACTATCTGTAATGCAGTGGTCATCTGATTATGACTGAGATGAGTTGCCAGGTCCAAGTCAAAAATCAGACATACCCAAGCTTATATAAAGTAAAAAAAAGAAAGTGCAGTCCCACAAAAATGGTCATGGCTTTGCCCTTTTAGGTGGCAGGAGGAATAAAGAAGGAGATGAAAATGGTTTGAGAATAAGAAAAAACTATGTGGAAACAAAATTTTGTAAAAAGAACAAACTACCTTTGAGATGAGCAGATTTTATTTACCCAATGTGATACTAACTTTTTGAACTTTCATTCTCCCCCACCCGCCAGTTTCACTTCTATGAACACTTTGTGCCATCTGTTTTTTCCCGAGACACATGAAGCTGGCATTCAGAAGGATTCTGTGAGGTATATTAACCATAAATTTCTCCCAAAACTGAAATTTGAGAAAAACTGCAAATACAAGCTAAATTGTGCTAAAGATCTTTCTGAAAAGGCCTCTTGGTATTCCTACTCTTCGTGTGATTTAATTTTAGAAGAAACTTCTTTAAGAGCAAAGACTGTTCATAGAACTGTGATTTTTTTTTTTTTTTTTGCAATGACATAGCATGGTGACATGAACAGGATGGCTTCCCATCCTCAGATTCTTGATTTGCAGTTCCGAATATTCGTGGTATGCGATAACCCATACTCTCTCCCCACTCATCAGGATGACGTACTTTTCTACTTTCAGTAGGTTGAAGTGGAGGGTATGATTTAATGTTACTCTTACTCATGATACCTAAAAGAAAAGCAAATAGTAGAGCAGCAGTTGGGTGACATAATTTTTAAAAAGGAGGGACAAACATCCACAAGGGTCTTTTCTTTCTTTCTGAAAAATGTAGAAGTATCTATTTCCATTTAATAGGGAATACTGATAGAAATGAAAATAAAACATCTAGAAAAGGGAAACAGATGAGAGAAAGGTCACACAGAAACAAAGGAGAGGTTTCTCTGAGGAGGCTTGAGGCTTTTGAGAAGGACCATGGCAAAAAAGAATACCAATTTCATAAAACTCATTCCCTTACTTGTAAAAAGGGCCCGTAGATGTGAGTAGTGAAGAGGTACTTTATAGCAAAAGTGATTAAGTCACAGCTAAATAATCATAAGTAAGGTGGTCATCTAATGTCTTGCCAGGTTCAAGTCAAAACTCAGACACATCCAAATGTAGAGTTTAAAAAAAAAGGGGGAGAGTCACTCAAAACTTGTTCCTTTATGTTTTTTGTGGGGTTTTGGGTTTTTTTTGGAAGGGGGAGATTACAGACAAAAAGATAAGAAATAGGATCAGTGAGTCACTGAGTTTCTTCACTAATTCCTGCTTCTACTCATTATCTCCATCCTGAAATGTCAACGTAAAACCTATAGAACTTTCCTTAACTTCCAGCTAAATAATGCCAAAGATCCTCAACTTAAGAACTTCTGACCTACAGGGGATACAAATAAAAATTTTAAGGTATACATAGGAATTTATATATCCCTCAAAATTGGCAATATACCTGGTTCCTATAGAGAGTTCAAAAGTATAACCTTTGCTTAGAGATTAGAAAATTGAATTAGTCCAAGTTTCCTGAAGCTCTAAGGCAGCCGTAATTAGTTCTGGTGCAATGATTTGCTCTATTTGGTGTACCTCAGACTACACTGCTGCTAGTCTATGTACATTATAGATAGACTTCTCCATATTTTTAAAAACATGCTTAAACGAATTGGTCATTATCTTCCCCATAGAAGTATTTTCTCTTAACGACCCACCAACAAATCTAGAAACAGCTGTTCTCACACTAGAATGAAAACCATTTGTTGCATTATTCTGGATTTTGAAGTGTCTATTTTTAACTATAACATAGTGGGATGATAAATAAATTCATCAGTAAGTAATAAACATCGCTGTTAAATGTGTTACAGGAAATAGATATATCAACATAACCAAATGACTGACTTTAATAAGTTTATGTTTGGCACTTTAAAAAAGTCCTGAGATGCTTACTTTAATTTCAACTTGCTCTTCCATTTCTTTAGTTTTTATTGTAGTGTATTCCTTTTCAAGCCTAAGAAGGAAAAAAAAATTAACAATATGTTCTTATTTAGTTACTAAATTATAAAATTTTAACCTATTTATTAACACAAAATATAATTCCAGTAGGTACCCCCCAACTAATAAATTGAGATACTTGATATTAGAAAAATAATCTGAATAATTACATGGATTCTTACCTAAAAAACTATTTCACAAATAACAAAAATGAGAACCACACACAAATAAACTTTAGAAAGTGAAATATATAAGGCATTTAAGAACTGAGTATATAGATTCTATTTAGCCCTAAACTTATAAAAAGAACTATCATTCTTCCTCAGATTAAAATACAATGGTTAAAATCCACTTTAACTGAGAAAAAAAAAAAAGTACTAAAAATGGTATTAAAGTTATAATGGGGAAAGAGGAACAATTCTTTTTTAAAGATTTTATTTATGAAAAAAAAAAAGATTTTATTTATGTATTTGAGAGAGTGAGACAGAACAAGTAGGAGGAGCAGCATAGGGAGAGGGAGAAGCAGGCTCCCCAATGAGCAGGGGCTTAATCCCAGGACCCTGAAATCATGACCTGAGCCAAAGGCAGACATTTAACTGACTGAGCCACCCAGGTGTCCCGGAAAAGCTCTTTCCAATAAAAGGATTCCTGAACACTGAAAGAGTGAGGCAAATAAAAAATCACCATGAAAAAATAGTAATAATAAAAATAAATTAAATAAATTTAAAATCACCATTAGAATTCTCCCAGAAGCAAGAAAACCCCCACAGGCAAGGAAAACCAGTGGAAGCTAAAATTAGTAGGTAAAAAGTATAAGCACAGTCTTAAAGTATCTCTCAAAATATTTAGATATTACCAAGGGAAAAACAGTAGATTTGTACTACAGTATCTTGACAGCACCTGAGCTAACTGATCAAGGTTAATACTACTAATAATACATGTTGATATCAAGCACCCCTTGTTAAGATGTACTGAGAAGGGTACCTCACCTCCATGATATCCTTCCCAAGAATGTATATCCTCAATCTAATCAAGAGAAATCATCAAACTCAAATCAGCAAACCCACTGACTGGCTCACTTCAGAAATATCAAGGTCATGAAAGATAAAACTGAAGAACTGAAGAACTGTCACTAACTATAGAAGAGTAAGAAATGACAAATGCAAGGTACTACATTTATACTACTGTAAGTATAAAATTATCTTTACAAAAATTTATAGGTGGGAAAAGTTATTCCCACCAAGTTATTTTTAGATCTTACTCTGGGCCAAAAATGTTAATAACAAGTTTAACTACTCCTAATACTAAAAACCTAGGCCCCCAAAACTTAGAGCTGTCAAAAATCAAATTCTCCCTCAAAGGAGAAAAACCTATTATTTACCATATATAAAATTTAACTCACAATAACTTTTTTACTGTGATAAAATACACATAGCAAAATTTACCATCATAACCATTTTTAGCTACACAGTTCAGTGGTATTAAATACATTTATAATGTTGTACAGCCATCACCATCATGTGCATTGTTCTGTTCTTTTCATCAACTGAAATTCTATACCCTTAAATAAGAAAACCCATTCCTCTCACCAGGTCCTGGCAACAACCATTTTACATTCTGTCTCTATAATTCTGACATTAAGTATATCATATATATGGAATCACACAGTATTTGTACCATTGTGAGGAGATTTTACCCAGCTTAAAGTCCCCCGGGTTCATCTATATTATACCTATGTTGAGCATCTTTTTATGTACTTATTGTCGTTTGTATTTCTTCTTTGGAGAAATGTCTATTCAAGTCCTTTGCCAATTTTTGAATCCTCTTGTGTTTTTTGCTGCTGAGTTTTAGGAGTTCTCAGTACACTGTGAATATTAATCATTTATCCAATACATGCTTTGCAAGTATCTTCTCCCACTTTTGAGAGTGTCTTTGGATGTGCAAAATTTTTAAATTTTCACAAAGTTCAATTTATCTATTTTGTATTTTGTTACTTGAACCTTTAGTGTCAAATCCAAAAAGTCATTGTCAAATCTAATTCCAAGCTTTTTGTCCAATGTTTTCATCTAAGAGTTTTACTGTTTTAGTTCTTACATTTAAATGTTTGATCCATTCTGACTTATATTGTGCATATGATATAAAAAAGGGTCCAACTTTGTTTTTCTGCATGTGACTATCCAGTTTTCCCAGCATCCTTTGTTGAAAAGACAGACCTTTCCCTACTGAATGGTCTTAGCACCCATCAAAAATCATCTTGGGAGATTTCTTAGGAGTGCTATTCTATTCCATTGGTCTAGATGTCTATCTTTATTCTAGTACCCTGTTTTGATTATGATAGCTTTATAGTAAGCTTGGAAATCAGGAAGTAGGAGTCCTCCAGGTTTTTGGTTCTTTTTCAAGATGGTTTTAGCTATTTGGGTCCTTTCAGTTTACTAATGAAGTTTAGGATGGAGTTTTCTATTTTTGCAAAAAATATCATTTTAAGAGAGACTTCAGTTCACTCTATAGATCATATTGGGTAATACTGATGTGTTAACAATATTACGTTGTCTTCCAATCAATGAACATAGAATATGCTTTTATTTATGTCTTAATATCTTTCAGAAATGTCTGCAGTTTTCATTGTATACATGTTTCACTTCCTTCGTTAATTCTCCGTATTTTATTCTTTTTGATGCTATTGTAAATGGAATAGTTTTCTTAATTCCTTCTATGTTATTCATTGTTAAGGTATAGAAATGCAACTAACTTTTTGTGGGTTGACTTTGTAACCTACTATTTTGCTGCATTCATTAGCTGTTTTTTGTAGAAGGGTTTTTCTACATAAAAGATCATGTTGTCTGCCAACTGAGATAATCTTAATTTTTCTTTTCCAATTTGGATTTTTATTTTCCTCTTTATTTCTTTTGCTACTTCCAGTACTATGTTGAACAGAAATGGCAATATCAAGGATCCTTGCCTTGTTTCTGACCTTAGAGGGAAAGTTTTTAGTCTTTCACCATTGAATAAAATGCTCACTGTGGGTTTTTCATATATGGATGGTTTTTATTATGTTGAGGTAGTTGCCTTCTTTTCCTTCTCTGCTGAGTGTTTCAATCATCAAAGGATACTGAATTTTGTCAAATACATTTTATCTGTCATTTGAGATGATCCTCTTTTCTTTCCCTTTATTCTGTTAATGTGGTATATTACATTGAGCAATTTTTGTATGTTGAATTATCCCTGCATTCTAGGAATAAATCCCATTTGGTAGTGGTATATAGTCTTTTTAGTACACTGCTGAATTTGGTTTACCAATATTTTGTTGAGGACTTTTGCATCAATGTTTTTAGGGATATTTATGTATAGTTTTCTTATAGTGTTCTTATCTTTCCTTATCTGGTTTTGGTATCAGGGTCATGACGCTGGCCTCCTAGAATAAGTTAGGAAGTATTCCCTTCTATTTTTTGAAAAAGTTTAAAAAGATATTAGTTCTTTAAATGTGTAGTAGAATTCACCAGTAAACCAACAAATCCAGGGATTTTCTTCTTAAGAGACCTTTGATTATAGATTCAGTCACCTTACTAGTTATAGATCTACTCTGATTTTCCATTCCTTTGTGATTTAGTCTTTGTATGCATGTGCACTGGCCATAATCACTTTTTAAGATATTTTTAAATGTTTAAAATTTTAACTCCAGTGTAGTTAACACAAAGTGTTATATTAGCTTCGCGTATACAGTATCTACTCTTAAATTATGTAGAAAACAAGCTTTGGAGTTACAAACAAAAATTACATTAATACTAGCTTTGAGACCAGTAATTGTTCTTTTTTTAAGATTTCATTTATTTATTTGAGAGGGAGAGATAGGAAGAGAGCAAGCAAGCAGGGAGAGGGACAGAGGGGGAGGAGAAAGGAGAGGGAGAGCATCTCAAGTAAACTCTGTGCCAGAGCACAGAGCCCAATATGGGGCTCAGTCCCATGACCCTGGGATCATGACCTGAGCCAAAATTAAGAGTCAGACACTCAACCAAGTCACCCAGACACTCCAGTTTTCTTTAAAATATTAGCCTTAATTCATGTAGAAAACAAAAAGTGGAGTTACAACCCACTGTTAAAATAATAGCTTTTATAATTGCCCATGTGTTTACCTTAATTAGGATCTTTCTTTTTATTATTTTAAGATTTTATTTATTTATTTGACAGAGACAGACACAGCGAGAGAGGGAGCACAAGCAGGAGGAGTGGGAGAGGGAGAAGCAGGCTTCCCACCAAGCAGACAGCCTGATATTCTCTCTGACTCTTCCTCTCTTCTGGGACTCCCACAATGTGTATGTTGGTCCCCTTAGGCTCTGTTCAGTTTTCTTTTATCTTTTTTCTTTTTGTTCCTCAAATTCAGTAATTTCTAATATTTTGTCTTCAAGTTCACTTATTCTTCTGCCTGCTCAAATCTGCTCTTTAATCACTCTATGAATTTTTCATTTCAGTTACTGAACTTTTCAGATCCAGAATTTTTGTTTCCTTTTAAGTTTTCTATCTCTTTACTGGTATTTCCATTTTGTTTGTCTATCTTTTTCTCAATCTTCCCCACATCTTCCTTTAGTTCTTTGAGCTTCTTCTAAAGTCTCTGTCTACTTTATCTGCCATCGAGTCTCTTTCAGAGAGATCTGAACTTGAACAACATGAGAATCAGAAGTGCTGACACCCCTGGACAGTTGAAAATCTGTGTATAAATTTTGACTCTCTAAAAAGTTCACTACTGTTGACTGGAGCCCTTACCAATAGCACAGTCAACATAGGTTTTCTATATATTATATACAGTAATCTTATGATGAATATAAGTATAGAAAAGAAAATGTTACTAAGAAAATTATAAGAGAACATTCATTTGCAATACTGTACTGCATTTATCAAAAACAATCTGCATATAAGTGGATGAGTGCAGTTCAAATCCATGTTGTTCAAGGGTCAATATTCTTTTCCTTTGGGGCATACTTTTCTTTTTTTCCATATGCCTGTGATTTTTGTTAAAAACTA